TAGAACAGATAGTAAGTAAAACTATATAAGGTGGCTTCAACAAGTTCTTGGAAGCTGGAATGAAAGGATAATGGAATTTTTCTCTTACAGAATAATAGAAGGAGCAATTTTGTGCTCCTGTTCTGTATACAAAACCAAATGTTCCCTGATCATTGGGCTCTCTGTATGCCCATCCTTAGCGAACCAAAAAACCAGACCCACTGCCATCAAGTCAGTTCTGACTCATAGCAACCCTGTAGCTTTACCCATTTCAGATGCTTGGTGGGGAGCAACTCCACCATCTGAAACCCCCCTTTCACTGGAGTATTGATGACTGGTCTTTCCTTGTTTGGGAGCCACCTGTGCCACACACTTGCTTACTCATTAGATCTCTGTCAAGGGCCCTTTCTGTGTCAGGCAGCTCTCCACAGCCCTAAGTCCGTTGTGAGAGAGAGCTGGGTGACTAGCTAAGGGAGAGCTTTGGGGCAGAAGGAGTAGCATATGCTAAGAACCCGAAGCTAGACTGCTTGTGATGCTTAAGGTGGCCGGTTGGATGGAGTAGAGTGGTGACAGTAGGAAATGAGGTCAGAGAGGCCTGATACTGCGAGGGCCTGCTAAACCTGGGCAAAACATTTGGGTTTGAACTTGAGGGTTGTTGAGCAGAGAGATACCATGATCTCGTTTATACTTTAAGGGAATCTGGTGGTTTGTTCTGTTGAGAATCATCTATGGGGGGTGAGGGCTGAAGTAGGGAGACCAGCTGGGAGCATGAGTGGTACTAGCAGCTTGACTCTGGTGTGTGCTGGTGAATGTTACAGTCTCTGGGTTGGTGAGAAGTGAAGCTCTGATAGGGAACGGGCTCCACAATTGTGTGGACGTGGGCCCTTTAGCCTGTGGTGTGTTAGCCGTGGGTATCAGGATGTGTCTGTCTCCATGTTTCTAGGGCAAGTGGAAGCTTTATACCCTTTTTGGAAAGAGAGGATGGGGAGAAGGTTATTAAAGAGAGCGAGTGTGTCATTTCATAAAGTCCATTGCCCTGAACCTCGCAAAGTAAGCCTGGATGTTAGAGACCATGCAGGAACTCCAGATTCGCCAATCCTTTGAAAGTGGAGCTCAGCCGCAAAGCTCCCTGCAAACAGGAAGCTGGTTTGAGTTAAGAACATAAAATAAAAACCAGCTGATGGCCCTGAATGTTTTCCTCCCTCTCCTCCCCATCCACAGAGCCAAAGGAAACTGCTATTTCTTCCTTGGATAGCTGCAAAGCCAGAAAAAGAAAAACAAACAAACCCATAAATGCTTTGAAAATAAGCCAAGCTTGGAGCCCAAACTCCTGCTCTTGGGGTTTTCCTCACCTGGAAGTACTGTGTCTCTGTGCAGCGTCCAGTGCAGGCACTGAGCACCACCTACGTGCTGGGGCCTTCAGGCTGCTCGTGGGACACGAGACCAATGCAGTGGGCTCGGAAGGAAACAGACTAGAAAGGAGCCTTGGTCGCATGCAATAACAAGTATTGTTTTCTAGAACTTAGCTTTCAGGTTTATACCATGCACACATATGCATGTATGCATCTACCAGATCATGAGATAAAATGTGTTTAATGCCATGGATCATGGTCAAAAAGTTTGATAAACATCTGAGTAACACATGTGCTTCCTGCTTTAGAGCAGTGTTGAAAAAGTCCAAGGTAGTCTCTGAAGTAAATTTCTGGGGAATTGGATCATCAACCCACAAGACACCTACTCACATCCCCATCGAGAGCAGGGCAATGGAGAACCAACAGACTGCTCTGTTTCTTTGGGGCCAGAGCTGAAGCCTAAGGGGAGAGTGTGTCACGTGCAATAACACCAAGTATTGTTTTCTCGAACCTTTGTTTCTGTCGTATATGCATGCACACATGCATGTATTTATGCACTGGGACAAGATATAAAATGTTTGCCATACTATGGATCTCGGTCAAAAAGTTTTAAGACCTTTTTGAACCTTGCTAATCTGAATCCAGAGATTTGCCTGAAACCAGAAGAGCTTGAAGGGACTCCTAGGCGCACAGCGGTTTCCCTCAGGTACTTGATTTGTTGTATTGTACCTTTGCACCCACCTGGGAAAGGATGCTCTCTCCTCTGTGGAGCCAGATGGTGCAGCAGGAATGTTCCAGAGGGCGCCGTGCCCAGGAGCAGGGGTGGCAGCCTAAACCTTCCCCTGAATGCCTTTTCGCCAGGCTTGAAGAGCTAGCTCCGAGGCTACAACGTCACAGTGCTCTGCTGCTACCTGAGCGGTTGGGGCTCCAACCTACTCGGTGGCTCTGCAGGAGGAAGACCTGGCACTCTGCTTCCCTCACGATGACCCGCCCAGTTCAAACTAAAGTGGTCCTCTAAGAGCACGTTGAGTTTTCCAGTTAGTAATGTTAAAGAGAAAAGATCTGAAGACTATCTTAATGGTTTCCGGGATCCCCCCACCCTGCCATAAAGCAGGAACACCTCAAGAGGGTTTCTGGGTCCCCTCCTCGCTCTATAAACAGTCCAGCCGGTTTACATGACTAGTCAGAGGCCCCCCCTTGCTGAGCCAAGGGAGATCCAAGACCTCTCTGAGGACCAGTGCAGGGAGTCCAGGCAGCTCTAGTGGAGACAGCACCCGGAGTGACTAGCAGGAGATCACACTGTAGTCTGACTCTCAAGCGTGGGATCGTGTAGTAGGAAGGCCAGTGAACTCGTTCAACACTAGTCCAATGTGTGTCCTGGGGCTGCAGAATGTGGGGTAGCTATCGTGAGGAGAAGCATGGCACATTCTCATGTGATCATGAGATCCCTCTTAGAATATCTGAGTACTTTATTGGCTTTTCCCTTTCATCTCTGCTGGAGTTGTGGGAGAAGTATAATAATTAAAGTACTCTGAGAATCTGCGCTTTTGCAAACACTGCATTAAGCCAGGTTTCCTAGGCAGGTAGCCTCCCTGAACTGGCAGGACACTTGTGGGGTAGAATCCTCCGATGGAGAAGAAGGTCATGGTGGGATGCCAAGAGTAAGGGATGTGTTACCTAGTTGATACCAAACACTTTTCTTATTCATAGTAGATCATAGGGGCTTTCCTTTATGCCCACCAAGGCATGAAGATCAGTTACCTCCTCAATTCTGGGCATCTGAGGACCCACGGCTTTCTCTTGTATATGGTGCCTTCCTGGGTTGAGGCAATACTTGATCTTCGATGGCCAGTTGCTTCTTTCCCAGGGTACCAGCAGACTGAGCCCTGCTAACGGCACCTGAGGCTTTTCCAGGGCATCAAGAGGCCTGCATGACCCCCTCGTGGTGTAGTGCAAGCAGCAATGCAAGGTACGCCAACTGCTCTGTGCCTGGAGCAGTAGGGAAAGAAGGAAAACCAGGAAGAGGTGGAGGGAATGGAATGCTTGGCTAATTGCCTTCATGAACAATTGCGTCCTTTACCATGAGGCCAGAAGAACTGGGTGACAACCCAGACCTTTACAACTGTAGCAGTAGGTACATCATGATCAATGGAGAAAAGATTCCAGTTGTCAAAGATTTTGTCCTCCTTGGATCCACAGTCAGTGCTCATGGAAGCAGCAGCCAGGAGATAAAAGACGAGCTGCTGCACAAGATCTCTTTAAAGTGTTCAAAAGCAAGGCCGTTACTTTGAGGACTAAAGTGCCCCGACACAAGGCCTGGTATTTTCTTTCTTTGGAAATCATTTCATTGGGGGCTCATGTAGCTCTTATCACAGTCCATACATCCATCGTGTCGAGCACATTTGTACATATGTTGCCATCATCATTTTCAAAACATTTTCTTTCTACTTGATCCCTTGGTATCAGCTCATTTCCCCCTTCCCCCACCCTCTCTCCCTCATGAACCCTTGATAATTTATAAATTATTATTATTTTTCATGTCTTACATTACTGTTGTCTGTCCTCCTCGGAGGGGTTTACATGTCGATCATTGTGATCACTGCTTCCTTTCTTCCCCCACCTTCCCCTTCCCCTCCTGGTATCGCTACTCTCATTGTTGGTCCTGAGGGGTTTATCTGCCCTGGATTCCCTGTGTTTCGAGCTCTTAACTGTACCAGTGTACATGCTCTGATCTACCCAGATTTGTAAGGTAGAATTGGGGTCATGATAGTGAGGGGGGTGGGGGGCGGGGGGGCCCAGAAGCATTAAAGAACTAGAGGAAAGTTGTATGTTTCATTGGTGCTACACTGCACTGGCATGGTATTTTCCATTGCCATAGATGCATGTGAAAATTGTCATTGAATAAGGGGAAGGGAAGATCAAAGAAGAATTGATGTATTTGAATTATGGTGCCAGTGAAGAATGTTGAAAGTACCATGGATCGCCAAAAGAATAAACAAATAAATAGGTCTTGGAAGAAGTATAACCAGAATGGTTCTTAGAGGCAAGCATGGTGAGACTTCATCTCATGTACTTTGGACACGTCAAGAAAGACCAGCCCCTGGAGAAGGCTACCGTGCTTGGTAGAGGGGCAATGAGAAAGTGGGAGGCCAGGGACAGGATGGATTGACACAGTGGCTGCAACAATGGGCTCAAACATCACCACAATTGTGAGGATGGGGCAGGCGTGGGCAGTGCTTTGTCTGTTGTGCATAGGTTTGCGATGAGTCAGAACGCACTCGATGGCGCCCACAACGACAAGAGCGTCTGTGTGGGATCAGACTCTTCAGGTTGCAAACGAAACTTAAGGGGCAACAAGGAGCTGATGTTGATGGGGGAGGAACAAGTCAGAAATGTAGAGTAAGATGGTATCCCCGCTTGAAGACTGTAATTCAGGTCACTGACGTTTGTCGGTAGAAATTGTTGAATTGTTATCTGTTCTGCTGTACAGATTCTCAGCAGCAGCAGCAGCAACAGAAAGAGACCTATGGTTAGGACAGAACCTGGAGAAATCAGGAACTACATTTTCCTGAAAAAGGCACTAGCCTTGCAGTGTGGTTCCAGGGCCCTGCTGCACCTTCTTCCCTACCCTACTCTGCTCATAACATGTCTCTTCTCTTGTTTCAACAGGTGACCTTGGAGAAAGTGCTGGGAATAACAGTATCTGGAGGCAGGGGACTGGCCTGCGACCCCCGGTCAGGTTTAGTCGCCTACCCAGCCGGGTAAGTGCCTTGGAAGTTTATTGGGTACATGCCCTGGGATGGCGAGGGCCTGTCTGATATCTTCTGGGAGATATATGCAGGCAAATTTTTTGGTGCATTTTTGTAAAGGAAGTACAGTCCTATGTTGGGGGTGGTCGTTGTTTCTACAGTCGTTGCTGTCTTGCTTTTTGTCCCTCGGCTCCTCATTTTTTCCTCCTCCCTCCCTCATGAAACCTTGATAATTTATAAATTGTTTTTTCATGACTTGCACTGTCTGATGTTTCCATTTACCCCCTTGTCTGTTGTCTATCCCCCTGGGAGGTGGTTATAGGTAGGTCATTGTGATCGGTTCCCCTTTTCTCTCCCCACCTTCCCCTTCCCCTCCTGGTATGACTACTCTCAATATTGGTCCCGAGGAGTTTATCTGTCTTATATTCCATGTGTTTCCAGCTCTTATCTGTACCCATGAACATGCTCTGGTCTAACCAGATTTGTAAGGTAGAATTAGGGTCATGATAGTGGGGGGAGGACGCTTTAAAGAACTAGAGGAAAGCTATATGTTTCATCGGTGTTATACTGCACCCTGACTGGCCCGTCTTCTCCCCATGACCCTTCTGTAAGGGGATGTCCAATTGCTTGCAGATTGGCTTTGGGCCTCCACTCTGCACTCCCCGCCTCATTCACATTATGATTTTTTGCTCTGGGTCTTTGATGCCTAATACCTGATCCCATCGACACCTCATGATCACACAGGCTGGTGTGCTTCTTCCATGTAGGCTTTGTTGTTTCTCAGCTAGATGGCCACTTGTTTATCTTCAAGCCTTTAAGACCCCAGATGCTATATCTTTCGATAGCAGGGCACCATCAGCTTTCTTCACCACATTTGCTTATGCACCAGCTTTGTCTTCAGCAATTCTGTTGTCGGGAAGGTGAGCATATCAGAGTGATGGATTATTAGAACAAAGTGTTCTTGTGTTGAGGGAGTACTTGAATAGAGGCCCAATGTCTACCTACTTCCTTAATACTAAACCTATAAATATATGTACATAGATCTATTTCCCCATTGTATATAAATATATTTACATAGGTACATGCCTGTATTTAGATCTCTATAAATGCCCTTTGTCTCCTAGTTCTTTCCTCTATTTCCTTTTACTTTGTTCTTGTCCCACTATCATGTTCAGCCTTCATTTGGGTTTCAGTAATTCCTCTCAGTTACATTGCCCTTGATCCAGCCCTACCAGACCTCCTACATCCTCCTTGCTATCAATTTTCATCACTTATTGTTCCCTTGTCCCTGGGTTTGTTAACACCCACTTCCTTTCCCCCGCCTCCCCCTCT